ACCAGTGCCGGAGCTAGACCAGTGCCGGAGCTAGACCAGTGCCGGAGCTAGACCAGTGCCGGAGCTAGACCAGTGCCGGAGCTAGACCAGTGCGGAGCTAGACCAGTGCCGGAGCTAGACCAGTGCCGGAGCTAGACCAGTGCCGGAGCTAGACCAGTGCTGGAGCTAGACCAGTGCGAGCTAGACCAGTGCCGGAGCTAGACCAGTGCCGGAGCTAGACCAGTGCCGGAGCTAGACCAGTGCCGGAGCTAGACCAGTGCGGAGCTAGACCAGTGCCGGAGCTAGACCAGTGCCGGAGCTAGACCAGTGCCGGAGCTAGACCAGTGCTCGGAGCTAGACCAGTGCGGAGCTAGACCAGTGCCGGAGCTAGACCAGTGCCGGAGCTAGACCAGTGCCGGAGCTAGACCAGTGCCGGAGCTAGACCAGTGCCGGAGCTAGACCAGTGCGGAGCTAGACCAGTGCCGGAGCTAGACCAGTGCCTGGAGCTAGACCAGTGCCGGAGCTAGACCAGTGCCGGAGCTAGACCAGTGCTGGAGCTAGACCAGTGCTGGAGCTAGACCAGTGCCGGAGCTAGACCAGTGCCGGAGCTAGACCAGTGCCGGAGCTAGACCAGTGCCGGAGCTAGACCAGTGCCGGAGCTAGACCAGTGCGGAGCTAGACCAGTGCCGGAGCTAGACCAGTGCCGGAGCTAGACCAGTGCCGGAGCTAGACCAGTGCCGGAGCTAGACCAGTGCCGGAGCTAGACCAGTGCCGGAGGCTAGACCAGTGCCGGAGCTAGACCAGTGCCGAGTAGACATTGCGGAGCTAGACCAGTGCCGGAGCTAGACCAGCGGCTGGCAGGGAGACCAGTGCCGGAGCTAGACCAGTGCCGGAGCTAGACCAGTGCCGGAGCTAGACCAGTGCCGGAGCTAGACCAGTGCCGGAGCTAGACCAGTGCCGTAGACCAGTGCCCGAGTAGACCAGTGCCGGAGCTAGACCAGTGCCGGAGCTAGACCAGTGCCGGAGCTAGACCAGTGCCGGAGCTAGACCAGTGCCGGAGCTAGACCAGTGCCGGAGCTAGACCAGTGCCGGAGCTAGACCAGTGCCGGAGCTAGACCAGTGCCGGAGCTAGACCAGTGCGAGCTAGACCAGTGCCGGAGCTTAGACCAGTGCCGGAGCTAGACCAGTGCCGGAGCTAGACCAGTGCCGGAGCTAGACAGTGCCGGAGCTAGACCAGTGCCGGAGCTAGACCATGCCGGAGCTAGACCAGTGCCGGAGCTAGACCAGGCCGAGCTAGACCAGTGCGGAGCTTAGACCAGTGCCGGAGCTAGACCAGTGCCGGAGCTAGACCAGGCCCGGAGCTAGACCAGTGCCGGAGCTTAGACCATGCCGGAGCTAGACCAGTGCCGGAGCTAGACCAGTGGGAGCTAGCCATGCCGGAGCTAGACCAGTGCCGGAGCTAGACCAGTGCCGAGCTAGACCAGTGCCGGACGTTAACCATGCCGGAGCTAGACCAGTGCCGGAGCTAGACCAGTGCCGGAGTTAGACCAGTGCGAGTAGACCAGTGCCGGAAATTAGACCAGTGCCGGCAGCTAGAGCCAGTGCCGGAGCTAGACCAGTGCGGGAGCTAGACCAGTGCTGGAGCTAGCCAGTGCCGGAGCTAGACCAGTGCCGGAGCTAGACCAGTGCCGGAGCTAGGACAGTGCCGGAGCTAGACCAGTGCCGGAGCTAGACCAGTGCTGGAGCTAGACAAGTGCCGGAGCTAGACCAGTGCCGGAGCTAGACCAGTGCTGGAGCTAGACCAGTGCTGGAGCTAGACCAGTGCTGGAGCTAGACCAGTGCCGGAGCTAGACCAGTGCCGGAGCTAGACCAGTGCCGGAGCTAGACCAGTGCCGGAGCTAGACCAGTGCTGGAGCTAGACCAGTGCCGGAGCTTAGACCAGTGCCGGTAGCTAGACCAGTTGCTGGAGGCTCTAGACCAGTGCCGGAGCTATGACAGTGCCGGAGCTAGACCAGTGCCGGAGCTAGACCAGTGCCGGAGCTAGACCAGTGCTGGAGCTAGACCAGTGACGGAGCTAGACCAGTGCCGGAGCTAGACCAGTGCTGCAGCCGAGACGATCAGCCTCCCAAGAGAGACTTCAGCACATCAGTTCCCCTGATTTCTAATATGTTATTTTCCCCCTGTGATCTATCCTGTCTATAATTACTATCGCAAAGCAAATGCGATCGTAATTATGGACAAGATAGATTATAGGGGAAAAATATATATTACAAAACGGGGGAACTGACATGCCCCTTCAGGAACGTGACCTAACCTCCTAAACTAAGACGCAAGGGAGACATAACGAAGACTTAACAGAGAAGACATGTGAAGATTATTCTCGAGGAAGGTTCCTTGATGCCGGTCAGAGGCTCTTGATCTAAGAAGCTGGGCCTGACCTTTTTCTTCGTTAGACTGAATCTGATACCTTTTAATTACACCAGTACTGTATAACCCCTTCGAGCTTAACGCTTCCTCCCCCCCTTATGAATGTACAAGACAGGTCTCAGAGAAGTTAGACGCAAAATTTCTTCTTTGGTTGGTAGGTGGAACGAGTTTCATGAATGCGAGTTAAAAGCGTAGGTATGAGTTCGCCCAAGAGGCAAAGGCAGAGCCAGGAGCATACCAGAGACTCAACCCCCTCTCTCCCTACAACTAGATTTCCAATAAACCTTCAACGGAAGTGATTTTATACTGGCCCCCTTAGGAAGGTTCCTTGATACTGGCGAGGCGGGAACTTGATCTAATCGAGCCTGAATGTCTTCCATTCCCCTATGACCCCTACGGGTTTAGTTTCCCCATGGCTGTATTAACTGCCTATAAAGACAGTCACTGACTGCAGGTAGGAAGGACGGGTAAATGGGAATGAGGCAAGAAGGTCAACACGGCTCAGTACCTCTGATCGTATTAATAAAATATGTTAAAACACTTCTCTGGTAACAATGCCCAGGGACGAAACACAATGTAAATAAGTAAATGTTTGTGAAGCTCGGTGATAATCAAGTTAGTGTGGGAGTAACAAGATCACAAAAAAAAGGGATATTTTTTGTTTGCAATTTAACTACTATGAAAAATGATATAAATTCCAAAGCATAACGTGATCTCTCAGTCTCTCGACAATATGACTAGAGATGTCAACACTGATTAGAACTTAATTCCCTTTCAAACTGGTTTAATTACACACCAATGTTGGTAAGACTCGGGGCTCAATTTTGTTCCCATTAACTCGGAGGAAAGTACACAGCCACGCTGCACCAGAAAACCCCTGCCCTCCCTCGGGACTACCGCAGCTAGTGTAACACTACGCAGCTGGTGTCCCTCAGCAATTCGTGATGCTGCACCTCGCTCGTCACCGCAAGTTAAACACGATGATCTTCACCGACCTGCTTGCCCAGTCCTGGTGTACACGTTTTGCCAATACCTTCTATGGGGCTAGTCTTTGCTCCTGGCTGTTTTTTTTTTTTTTTTTACCATGACTGCTTTTGCTAGTTTCCATCTCGACGGCTCTGTCGTACTTACCCAGAGTACGTATGGTATCTGTTTCTGATCACCACCTTTACATTCAACTTTCTGGCCATTCTGAGCCTGAAGCAGATAATCTCCGTCTTGAGCTTCCATCTATGTCCTACTTGTCCCAGATCCTCTCTTCAGTCTGTCCAAGTACACCCTATCAAGTTAACTTAATATCTTGTGTTGTGTCTTCCCAACTCTGTCTTCTATGGTACTGAGGTTCAGCTCTCTTCATTTTTTAATGTTAATGTTCTCGATTACGGGATTAATTTTGTTGCGAGTCTGCATTTTTCGTAGTTTCTGTAAATGCTTGACCAGGTGTTCCAGGCTTGGCCTGCATATACAGGTATTATATGTTGAATGACATTTATCTCTCTTTTATTCTTAGGTGTGCAAGGCGCACGTCCCCCACTTATGTTACTCTTCAGAATACATGCGGCTTGCACAGTGGTCGACGCAACTGTGCCCTTCCAGTGTCATGGTGGGTGTTATAATAAGGTTGTGTTGCAGGGTAGCAGACATTGCCTTCTCACCACTCCCTACCCTAGCTTATACTCTTACTAATCTTTGTCCTTTTTCTAGATTTTACTACTTCTGTACTAGGTTTTAGTCTAGTAGCTGTGACAACTTCTGCTGACTTCATCTTCAGGTTATATTGTAAAGTAAAATGATACAAGTGCAACTAATGTGACATTTTTATTGTGGCAACATTTCGCTCCTACAATAAAAATGTTACATTAGTTGCACTTGTGTCCTTTTACTTTACATATTGTCGGTAATTCTACCAACATTATTACAGATTATACTGTATTTGTAATATCAGGTGTTAAGAGCATTCCATGCAGTTAACGTTTCAGGATGATTGCCAACCTAAGTATTGACCCTTGTGGGATCCCACTAGTCATGTCTGCCCATCCTGACACATCCTCCCTGGTTATCCCATTGTTTCCTCTCACTAAGATATTTTACAACTTATTAATGTACCTTGATCATTTAATTTCTGTACCAATGTTTGGTGTTCTACAATATCACACGACTTCTTAATAGGAATATACAGTGCCACTACCCTGCTTTCCTATTTCACTTCTATGAATCTCGTGTTCTCTACCATTGTGTGTGTGTTTTCGATCTAGTTGAATTCGCAAGTCTCTCAATTTTTGTAGGCTGCCTTCCTCTGGATTTATCATATATAATTTTCAAGTAATCAACTGTGTCGCTCTCGAGTCCATTTCTTTATTGCCCTGACGCTGAAGAATTAATTCCTAACGTGTTTAATTTTCATCTGTTGACTCTCTCTGGTGTTGGTAACTGAGAATAACTTTCCTGTCTGCTCTGTTTAATCTTCTGAGACTCGTGAATGTTGTGATTTTTGCTTGCCCCTGCTTCTCGTGTCATGAGGTTCAGTTCGTCAGTCTTCGTAGCTTGTGTTCCTTCGTTCTAACTTTGTTGTGAATCTTAGATCATCCCTTATCTTATGTGTGTGTGTGTGGGGGGGGGGGGTGGAGAAGGGAGGCAGGTAAGGGTTCGAGGCCAATTATATGTATTTCAGAGCTTCCCCAATGCTGCTTTGTTTATGTTCCTGCATGTTATTAAGGTTAGCGTGTAACACCAATGTTGAGGTGTTAATGATGTTTACATTTAGCCCACTCTCGTTGCTTGATTCCTAGAACCACTCTTCATTTTGGGCTGAATTCTAACAACCATTTTTCCAACCATTTCTTAACCGGTTAAGGTCGTCTTGTACTTTACATTATTCTTGGCTATAACCATAGAATACTGGACATAATTTACAAGTTCTAAGGATGTTGTTGACCTATCATGAATAGTATGGGTCCCAGTGCTGTCCCTTGGGGAAGTGTGTGTGTGTACGTAAGTACGTGCGTACTTGGACAGGTGAACCAGCCCATCAAATTACAGACTTGGCTAAGATAAACGTTGAATAATGTTTCCGTGCCCCTGTACTGGGTAACACGGAGACCAATACCGGTCAGCTACAGTCAAGAGACACCAACTACAGTAGTGACGTTCCTTGGTGGCAACACCAGTGTTAAAGCTGTACACTGTCATGTGCTTTACACGTCATGCGTTTGAAGTGTGACTGAGATGCAAGGAAACACAGGTTGTACGAGCTTCTTGCAGGGCAGCACAGGTTAAGATACTCGTCTGGGTAAACAGAAGTGATGGCACAGGAATTGAGAGGTGCTTATAACCCTACAGAGAACCTGGCACATTAAGAGTGCCGTGGCACTCCCTATAAACAGCTTTGTCAAAGGCCCAAGGCAAGCGGAGAGGTGTGCCATTGGTCATCACAAGAATGCTAACTTTCCTCCTCAGAGGCCCTCATAAACAAGGTCTTTGGCTTCTAAGAGTTCTAACAAATCTTAACTTCTGCATTAGTTTTAACACACTCATTTGACTACTGAAGAAAAGCCATTTTGCAGAGCAGTTTTATTTGTCGCAATAAAGCTGTTTCTGCGAGGTCTTTTCTACAGTACTGTCAGCAACACACCGCTTTGATTCTTCGACTTCTGCAGCAGGTTTTAACCTTTGGTCTACAGGCCTACATACATGCAACCAGTTGGCATTCTTTGACTTCACAATGACCAGCAAATGTGGGCGGCAGTTTAAGTTGATGGAGGTATTGGCGGCGGTCTGGGTTGATGAAGGCAGGCGTAGGCATGGGCGTGGCGGCGGGCAAGGGCGTTTGGTAGCGGCGGCAGCAGCAGCGGCAGCCTAACAGGACGGCTGTGTTGTGGAGGGTGAGAGTCGCACCGCCTGTGGGAGAAGAAACCAAGATTATTATTATTAATAACGAAATCGTAATATAACGGTGTTGACAGTGTTGTACAGACCTCATGTACAAAGCACAGTCGACAAACAGCGAAGGAATTCACCCAACAGATAAAGACGACAAATAGGTGTCTAAAATAAGACTTAATCCTACACTAAACGTCATCTTGTAAGGTTTCAGTCCTCCAAATGTAAAGTGAATGATGACACTATACGAGAGACAAGTTTATATTTAAAAAAGATATAGGAAAGTATTAGTTTGGAAATAGAGTAGTTGATGAAACATCTGCCTCGTGGGGTTGAAGAATGACACTTGTGCAGCATTTGGGAATCTTTACTGAGGAAACGTTTCGCCAGCCAGTGGCTTTTTCAGTCCAATACAGATGAAAACGGCGGATGAGGGACGGATTACCTCAAACTCGTCCTAATCTTCAACCGTTCTTCTCTGTATTGGACTGAAGAAGCCACTGGCTGGCGAAACGTTTGCTCAGTAAAGATTCCCAAATGTTGCACAAGTGTGCCATTCTTCAAGTTGTGGGTTTACTAAACCATCTACATGATGCATAGTGAGGTAATTACGGCTACAACCCTAAGCAACTTCAAATTTAGTATGATAAATACACGAGTGAGAAGGGATGGATTTGAGCGGGACTTCTACATGGCCTAGTATGAGACAGTAGGCCTGGCTGCAGCGTTTCCTCATGTGAGGCAGTAGGCCTGCTGCAGCGTTCCTCATGTGAGGCAGTAGGCCTGCTGCAGCGTTCATGTGAGGCAGTAGGCCTGCTGCAGCGTTTCTCATGTGAGGCAGTAGGCCTGCTGCAGCGTTCCTCATGTGAGGCAGTAGGCCTGCTGTAGCGTTCCTCATGTGAGGCAGTAGGCCTGGTGTAGCGTTCCTCATGTGAGGCAGTAGGCCTGGTGTAGCGTTCCTCATGTGAGGCAGTAGGCCTGCTGCAGCGTTCCTCATGTGAGGCAGTAAGCCTGCTGCAGCGTTCATGTGAGGCAGTAGGCCTGCTGCAGCGTTCATGTGAGGCAGTAGGCCTGCTGCAGCGTTCCTTATGTGAGGCAGTAAGCCTGCTGTAGCGTTCATGTGAGGCAGTAGGCCTGCTGCAGCGTTCATGTGAGGCAGTAGGCCTGCTGCAGCGTTCCTCATGTGAGGCAGTAGGCCTGCCGCAGCGTTCATGTGAGACAGTAGGCCTGCAGCGTTCCTCGTGTAAGGCAGTAGGCCTGCTGCAGCGTTCATGTGAGGCAGTAGGCCTGCTGCAGCGTTCCTCATGTCTCTGTCTTTACGAATCTAGGGAAAGTTTGCACTGAACCACCAGATAACACAACCCACTAGAAATGGAAAATAGGCTAGACTGATCTTCGGGAAAAATGCTGCAGCACGAGGGAAGGAAGGAAGATGTATTTAGTGAAGTTAACCTCAACCATATTAAAACTCGTAGAGACCAAAAAAAAAAAAAAAAGTAAAGCGAAGAACACACATTCCTTGATGAACCGTCGTGAGCAACCCTGAAGTGAGCTGACTTGTTAAATATACTAGGTGCACTGGTGAGCTGACTAGCTTGTGATTTAATACACTGGGTGCACTGGTGAGTTGACTAGCTGGTGGTTTACTAGGAATTCTATTCTATGTGTTATTATTATAATCAAAAAGAAGCGCTAAGCCACAAGGGCTATACAGCTTTCTATTTGTTAATACTCTACAATGTTAGTTGAGCAAGAAATTGGAAACACAGCACACCCCTTATTCTATGCCTCTTGTGGCGTGTACTGTGGTAGATGGAGTGGGGGTGGGGGGTGTGGTAGACATGGGGGTGGTAGAGTACTGGGGGGCTGTGGTAGAGGGAGGGAGGAGCGTGGTACAGAGAGCAGGGAGCGTGGTAAAGGTAGCTGGGGGGGCTGGTAGAGGGAGCTGGGGCAAAAGTTGGAGGATATGGTAGAGGGAGCTGGGGTAAAGGGCTGTGGTAAGGACACAAGATTCATTTCTTCTTGTTTTTTACATCCAATTAGAAATTACAAATTTAAGAGTGTATAAGGTGAGCAGAATACAAGGCACAAGGTAACAGTTAGGAGGAAGAGCTTACAAGGGCAGGAGAAAGGGTTGTACACACCTTGTACTTGAAAGGGTGCAGGGTTTGGAGGTGGACCTGGACCACGCTTACATGAGGGCGCACTTCTCCTGCGGCTTGATGCTCGCCCTCGACACGTCGTGCTCGATTTGCTCGTCCTCGTCAATCCTGCAATGATAAACACGCATCTGTTAACCCACATAAACACACTCCTAATTTAACCGAATACGCACCCATTAACTGGAGCACCAACACGCCTTTGTTAACCAAGAGGAACACGCACCTCTGTTAACGGCACACTGTAATTAGACTTTCTCCTCTGCCTATTTTCAATAAAAGAGCAGAGACCTGATGCGAAGAGGGAAAACCAGGTACAGATCGAAGTCTGAACTAAGCTCGAGATATATAAATCCCCTCCATATATACACATACCACATATGCAACTCCTTCCCCTCCACGCACTCAAAGCAGGCAAAGTGTCCATCGACAACTTCTTTTGACAAGTGGTAAGTAACTACACCCCACTCCACACCCTTGCATCTACCTTCACTCCACCCCACACCAATGGACACCCCCACACCCCACAAAGCTGAGCACAAAGTCCACTGGCACGATTTATGGAGCCACATTCGCACCAGACTCGCCTCTCTTCCAGCCTCATATATATCTGTATTTACTTCTGTCCAGAGGCAGGGAGGAGGGAGGGAAGGTGGCAGTGGGATGCAGGAAAGGTGCCAGAAAGGTAAGGAATGTGCCAAGGAAGAGAGGAAGGTAAAGAAGGCGGAAGGGGATAAAAGAGGGAGAAAACGTGGAAAAGAGGAGGGCAGGGAAGAAAATTTGTTGCTTTGTTGGGAACTATTGTACCACTAAATTTACATCATAACATTAAAGTGCACCATCACTATTATCACCATTAACTCCACACCATCACTACCACTTATTTCTTGGCTTCTGATCTCTTGGACTTTTCCATATCTACCCTATAAACCTTGTATTGACTTTGCCTCCAAGGCGGCTATGTATAGACAACACAAACAACAGTCAAAAAAAAAAAAAAGTTCCAAGATGTAAGATGGTTAAACACGTGGAATTAAAAGATGTGTGGAACCTACAACTACAAGGGTTGACAGCAGGTCGCTCCTGCCTCTCACAACTGATACATAATACCGTATTTTCCGGGCATATAAGGCGCGCCTTTTTTCCCACAGTCTTGCACAATCAGCCTGCGTCCTACATGCTCAAGGTCAGAGTCAAGGGTAAGCTTTGGGTTACGCTTAGCGTGAAGTAAGAGGGTAATCAGCCACTGAATATGAGTATTGATTTACAGTTGTGATACTTATGTCGTGCCCCTTATATGGGGGGATGGGGGAATACTGTAGCTACTCATTACTTGATAAACCCTCATGTAGGAGAAATTGGTGTAATGACAACCCCAGAGGATGAAGAAGTGATATATCAGGAGGAGCAATTATTTGAGGTGTGGAGTCTTGATGTGTGTTGGCCACTTGTCGACTGTGTCTTACTTCATCCAACTGGACGATAACCAAAATGCAGACGTAATATACACAAACTTTGCAAGGTCCCTCGACGAGCGAGATCACGGTGTAATAAAACACAAAATGAGAGCAAAAGAAATAAAAAATTACTATTTGTCTCCTTTATTAGAAAGTCAATAAAGTTAGATGGCTGCACGGAGAAACAAAGAGCTCCAGTATCCCAAGCCTTTCTCATATCAGACATAAACAAAGACAATCCTTAAACGATACAATTTGTGGCATTCACGGAGGACACATCAAGCCTCCACTCTGACCTCCAGCAAGTAATCCAGTGCGCCACAGCAATGCTGCTTACCCACACAAACTACAGGTTAATGCAGTAAAATACAAACTGTTATCAAGCCAATTGATGGAGGGAAAGAGGAAAAAACAAACACATGCAGTATAATGTGATGTTTTATTGACTGCGCCCACACAGTGGACTTGATCAAGTCACAAACAGATCTACCTGGGTAAAGAGTACATGTGTGTAAAGGGCGGAGAGTCCGGTATTTGTGACGGACCTGCAGGTCAGTCTCAAATACAACCTACTCAACATTCTCCACCTGACTCTCCACACTATATACACTGACGTACTCTTTACCCAGGCAGATCTGTTTGAGACTAGATAAAAGCTCATTGTGCTGGCGAAACGTAGCCAATAATCACATTATACTGCATGTGTGTTTATATTTTTTCCATCGTGTCTGTATTTTATACCTTTTATCTCCATGGAGGGAAAGAGAAGTTTGAGGGACCTGGGAGTTAGCATGTCGGAATACCGCATATTCAAGGAGTACATTAATATTACATGCCCTAACATCCTCTTTATTTTAACTTTTAAGTAAGGCAGACACAATTGCAGACCCGGTGACTTCATGGAGAACTTTCACCACACATAAATTCAGCCAAAAACGCACATTACTGGTAAAGCCTAAAATAGTTATACCTTGAAAATATTGGAGAGTAGTTCCAAATCTACACACTGAAGTAACTGCTTGTTAATGAAAGGTATAAGAGACTACTCAAAATACCTCCAGTGAAAAGTAGAGAGCTAACTTAGTTAACATTAACACTTTTCACTACCCTGCCTTCACATGAAAGGAGAAATGCACCAGACTCCTACTTTCAAGATAGAATTTGATAAATTTTTCAGCCTGATCAGCCAGGCTATGTTGCTTATATCATAGAGAACATCAACAGCCTGGCTGACCAGACCACCAAACAGAAGACTATGATTCCTGTAAGTATTCATTTAGTGTAAAATTTAACCACTTCCTCATTCAACTCATTCTACTTTCCTACAACCTTCATGTTAAAGTTGCTACAACATCTGTACATAATGCTCGTGTATGTACTCTAGTCTATAGTACTCGCAGTTCACACTCAAGATAAACTGTCATGGTCGACTGTTCATTCTTCTGTTTCAGTTTATCCCTATCTACCTTACCAATTCAATCTTTATTAACAATTTCTTTTAAAATTTTGTATGTCATGATCATGTTTGCCCCAGTTCTTTTACTAATCAAAGTTGTTAGATTAAGCTTCTGCGTCTCTTGGTAAATTTCTCTCTTCTAGATTAGTCCGATTTTCAATGTGTGTGTGTATTTTGGGGGAGGGGGGAAAGAGGATGTCTTCAGCGCCACATGTTTCAACAGGTGAAGATCGCACATTACTGCCCCAAGATAATCTCTTGATGGAGACTGCCTACCCTTCTTGTCTCCTCCCCACGTATACCAAAACACCGTAACGCTCGCAGCCCACCACCACCACCACACCCATTTTACCCTCTATGAATATTTGAGAGTTTTGATAGTGGTTTCCGAATGATTCTCCCCTCACCTGCCTTCCCTGCAGCCCTATCTCCCTCACCCCTCGCACTCTTTCCTCATACCTCCCTTTCTCCCCCCCCCCCACTTTTGTAAGTGGCACGGAGAAACATACAGTACGTTCAAGTTCCCTTACACCAGCTCATCTGAGTCATCACTCCATCGCTTGACTCATCCTCCCTCCTGATTCTTCCTATGAACATTAAATTTGCAACCCTAAACACGACAAAATAAAATCCATGAAAAAATAAATCCTAAAATTTATTTCGAGACTTGAGCTACCAAGATTGGTTCATACAATCAACGAAATCTTCTACCATAAAACAAAAGACGTCCACTTAGAAGCACTCGATATTCAAACACAACAACAGTGATCATTTAACAAGACTGATAACTGACTCCAACACATCTCAGAAACCTACACTGCTCAACACCCACGGCGTCTATGCATTCTTTGTCAAGGCTCTTTGTTACCTGCACAGGTCAAACTAGCTACAACACAGTCGCTAGAATCACTGAAAGATACTAAGAATTGTGCATTGAACAAGTCAAACACATCACGAACAGAAATTTCAATGAGTGTGCAGGACCAAAAATGTGCTAGATACCAGTGTACTCAAATATGAGGAATAAAGAATACACCAAAGATAATTTTGGTTTAACATATTCCTACTACCAGAATGTATGTAGATTTATTTACACTATGTATTGTAGGTATGAACCAGTTAAGTGAAATAGTGAATTCGTTGAAGAGAAAATGATAACACAGACCGGGCCGCGGGGGCGTTGACCCCCGGAACTCTCTCCAGGTAAACTCCAGGTAAACACTGCTCTAGTTATAGCACACCCGTTAAGAAAGATTCTGGTCGTGTCCAAGCCATCCTGAGGCATGTGAGGGTCTGACGGTCTTGGCTGCCCCTACATGTGAGGTAACAATCCCGACTCTCCTCCTATTTAACTGAACACCCCATACCAGCATGGCACGCCACACACTACACACACTGTGAATCTGCTAAAAACAATCACAGTTCTCAATGCAGTTTGAAACCATACAGATCTTAGTCACAGCTCATACAAATTGAACTAAACTTCAGCTTCACACAAGGACAGTAAAGATATGAAGTCATCACTATGTTCTCTCTGAAGATCTACTTTCCTCCACAGTGATACCACCTTCCTCAACGGGTGACACCACCTTCCCTATATAAAGTCATTCCTCACTCATTTTTGTACAGTATTTCAGTGCAAGACTTGATACAGTCGTAACCTATACATTGACTAAATGTTTATAATTTTCTGATTATCTAAGGTGTGTGTGTGTGTGTGTGTGTGTGTGTGTGTGTGTGTGTGTGTGTGTGTGTGTGTTTAACACACAAACGACTATGTACCTTTAGTACCTCTGTATTTATAAATATACACGTGTGGTTATTCACAGTGCTGAGTACCATCACAGTACTTAGTACCATCAGTGTTCAGCAGACTCCATAACTACATTCTCTTTCATTACTGTTCTCTCTACTCCCCTCTCTTCATTGCCTACCCCATCTCCCCTCTTACTAACATCTTCCCTCTTTATTCCCCTTTCCTTACTGCCTTCTCCCTCCTTCCCTCTCTGCCACCCCGCTAAGCTGCTTATGTGAGGGGGACCTCTGCGAGAAGGTGCTCTCTGTACCCTCCTCTCTCTCTCTCTCCCCACCTCTCCTCCCCCCTCCCTCCCTCCTCACCCCTCTTTATCTCCCTCCACACTCTTTTTTTCCCCTCCCTTCCTCACCCTTCTCTTCCTCCACACCCCTCCCTTCTTCAC